GCATAAATGTCTTCCTTCTTCAGTTCTGACAGAAACATACGTGTTTTAGATTATCATACAACGTTGTACTCATGCCAACATTTAGTCCTCTAAACTAGGATAAAAGAATAGAAGTGCTGGACAACTGAAGTGAAGTAAACCACAGCCTGAATACTCACTGGCCTGTTCCAAGAGACTCTGCAGAGGAGGTTCAACTCGGGCCAAAATATCAACACACATCTCTTCAAACTGACCCCTAGTGCAGGAGAATTGAGACACGTTTCAAACCTTTAGTTAATAGTAATACAACCTAATGTAGATGCACAGATCTTCTCAGACCCACCTATTCATACGTCCAGAGACGTCAACGTCATTCATGAAGCACTCGACATTCAGCGGCAGGTCGGAGGAGTTGGCGCTCATGAGTTTTTTCAGTTTTTCACACTCCTGGTAGAGCCGGACCACAGCCCTGGCCTTTGTTTTCACATCCAGCGTGTACTTCTTGCCAAATTCCTCACAGAAATGGTTGACCAGCACTTCATCAAAGTCCTTTCCTCCCAATTCTGGGTCACAGGCTGTAGCAAGGACCTTAAAAAAAAACCCAAAAAACATGAAAAGGTCAAATGGACACAAGTTGAAAGCCTTTCGCTACAGGAAAAAGACATTTATAGCCATTAGTGAGACTGGATATGCTCCATCTATTTTTCTGGAGTTACTCTGCATAATTAAAAGTCATCACCCCTGAGTTCTGACTGTAACCTTGTCTAAAACTTCAGTGAATCGTTTGCATAGTGGTTGTTAAACCACTTCCAAAATTATTTGTTAGCAAAACCTCAAGAACAAGAATCCCACACTGCCAGTAGAGGGCGCCTAAGTACCAGTGGTAAAGAAACTATAGTTTAAGAATCACTGACCTAAAAAAGATTAACCACGAATGTAGTCGCAGTTTCGTTTGTGTTGTTTAATTCCAGGTTAAGTTACAAGACATCCAAGAGTCTATTTAACAGGTCACACTCACCTTGAGTTTGCCCTTGTTAAAGGCACAAACTGATGTCTGGTATCCAGAGTGACCAAGGTCCACAAACACCACATTTCTGGGCTTCTCCTCTGGAGCAGGGAGATCCTGTTTATAGATCCCATATGCCAATGTAACTGCAGAGGGAAGCAGATGAAATATTAAAGAAGAACAAAATTTTTATCATCATTGCAAAACATGGTAGTGCTAACATGTCTAGGTGCCCAAATATATTGGAATTAGTTTGTAGTAAACATGTCCTGGAATGATAGCACAGAGAAGCTGTTCCATCTGTACAGTGGCCACTAACGTGATCCTCCTTCCCAATAAGGCCCAGTACAAACCTGCAGCTGTTTCATTCATGAGCCTTAAGCAGTTAAGTCCAGCAATCTGAGCAGCATCTACCACTGATCTCCTCTCAGCATCAGTGTAGTAGCAGGGAACCTGGTTACAACAGAGAGACCGTTTCAAATGTATCACTTGGGGGGCGGGGGGCTGCAATCCAGTTTCAAACTTTGTTGATGTCAGAACAAAAACCAAAGTAAAGCAGCACTTGAATACTTACAGAGATGACACAGTCAGCCACAGGTTTTTTCAGTGCACTCTCGGCCGTCTCTTTCAGCTTGGTTAGCAGCATGGCCGTGACCTGTTCAATGCTGAACACCTTTTCCTCCTCCATGTACATCACCTTCAGTAACAGACATGTTTTCACACCAGTTAGTAAATGTTGTAGAAGTTTCTTCATTCTTGTTCACCTGCTGCATCCTATGAAAATGTATTAAGAGTCTTGACGGTTCCCCTCTCACCTTGATGCCCGTTGTTCCTGTGGGCATTTGTACAATGTCGTACACCAAGTTGTTTTTGAGGCGTTGCACGAAGGGATCTGAAAAGGCCCTGCCATGAAACCTCTTGAAACCTTGGACTGTGTTTTTGGAGTTTGTGACAACCTGTTAGAAGGTAGAAGAAATTGATAAGGTGATTGATTAGGTGATACACATGCATAAGCAAGTGTGTACTGCCAAAGTTGTTTTGTACGGTAACTATACTGAGGAATGAAAAACAAAAGCAGCATTCTCTCTTTTAATTTGTCAGTTCACCACTTTAAAAAAAAACAAACCTGGCTTTTTGCAGCTGCACCTATAGAACGATTCCGTGGTCCAAAGGAAACACATGCTCTGAAAATAGAGAAAAACATAAAAGAGCTGATATTTTGACAGTCAATTCTACTCCACACAACTGTTCTACTGTGCATGTGACTCTAACCAGCCCAGTTTTTGTAGGTTTGCACCATTCAATCAGATGTTCATGTGATTTAGTCAAACTACAAGCAATGCATATGTTTATCCTCCATTACTTAGACAATTTGACAACACCATGGCTTAAAATTGCTTTCAGTACCTGTAAAATTGTTTATTTTCAATATTTTTATTTTTTGCAAATTAAATATTAACATGAGGTGGTCAAGTCAAGTCACTGGAACCTCATAAACATCCTTATAAAAGTCAGTGGGGCATTAACTGCAACCTCAAGAAAAGAACATGTGTAGTGGCCTAGAGAAAATTTGATTTTTATTTAAATGACTATTAAGGCAAACTATAAAATTAATTATATGTAAATTTCAAGTGGATCTGGCTGTTGGAGGGTAAGGCATGAACAACAAAGGAAGCTGTTGTTCACATACAGTAGTAATAAAGGCAACTGTAGCAGAGAAGGACTTTGTCTTTCGCCAGGAAAATATGGATATGATATGAATTACACGTAGATGTGTTGTGCAAGACATGAAACCCTGGTCACTTCTGAACTGTTCCAAGTACTGTATACATAAAGCAAACGTCCATCAGGCAGGGCATCTGAAAATAAAACTATGACACATAATCAGATGTGTCATTATCCACTGTAATGATCCCTGACAAGAGGACCTGTCAGAGGGGATTATTGTTCTTAGGGTAACAAAGGGCAAAAACAATAATTTACAGAAACTATTTACTTTGTAAATTAAATGTGTAAGTTCTCGCCACACCCATGTGCACAGCACATTTTGCGGCAATTTTTTTTTTTTTTTTTTTTAGAATTTTCTTATGGTGGGTCATAATGACACAGTGAGGCTGCTGTTTTAGAATGTCAGGTGCAGTAAGTGCGGTCATCCTACCGTGGTGTTGCTTTGTGTTGGTCAAATTCACGAGATTTAACCATGGAAGTTTACCTCATTAGTACATGTGTAATTTTCATTGATTACTCTGTTGCCTTTGTGTACGATTGATGTGTTAACGGAGCAGAACAGCACTGCTACGACGTTACTGACAACCAGGTCCCGGCCTCCTCCCGTTATGCGCTCATCACGTCACACCAGCGAACAAAAACCTCCAATTCGCCGAAGTAACGACTATTACAATGTGTGAATGAACGCAACGATGTGACTATATTGAAATGATCGAAGATTAACTTGAACCTCCGAGGTGAATGTATTATTTATTTGCAATTACAGCGGCTTACCATCAGTTACAGTTAGCTTTAGCCATCACATGCCGCTTCCTGGTGTAACAGAAACCCGTGAGCCTGCTAAGTAGCCACATTAGCTTCAATGAGAATTAAAAGATACCCATTCTAACATCAGTATTGACACAAATAGGGGATTATTATTGATGTCAGTCATTACCACAGTCGTACTTACGGTGTGCACCGGTCGCTGTACTCGTTAGCGACGGTTTCAATTCCTCCGGCTCTGGCTACCGCTACATAGCAGTTCATGAACCCGACGTCAAAGCCGACAACTGACATCTTCACAGCGGCTGAATGAGTGGTGATCAGTAGGTGAGAGATTCAGCTCAGTGCTAAAAGAGGGAAAAAACAGAATACAGCGGGGGAGGCAACAATGGACTTTAGTCAACGAACAGTAAGCCAGCCTTGTTCTTGTTCCATCAAAGTGAGTAGCAGCGTGCTCTCAGCTACACCGGCTGATGACTGAGACAAGCGTTCAGGAATTTTCTCTGTCCAGCAACCAATAGAACGCTACTGCAGAGACGCCGAGGCGCCACCTAGTGTTAGATGTAGTACTGCAGTTGATTATACAAACGTATTTTTGTCTCCCGTTCATGTCTATGGCTTCATAAGAACTAATTCTAAAAATTCAAAGAATTGTTTTTATATATATATATATTAATTTTTTGTCAAGCCTAGTTTTTAAAGATACATACTTTGACTGTTAGAGTTCAATGTTCCTATCACAGTAAACAGAACTATATTTCTAAGGTGCGATAACATAAGGAAAAACATGTAACAAAAGAAAGAAAACTAGAAGTGTAGTTATTTGAAATGACAGAAGAGGACAGGTTTTGGATGTTTGAACTAATAATTTTTGTTCTTAGTTTGGTTTAATAATTAATTACATGCTCTGATGTGTTGTTATCCTGTTCTTTGAGAGGAAAAAACTCACTGTTGCTCCAGCCA